ATCCTTATACACAAACACCACATTATATGAATACTGAATATATAGATATAGATGCACCCCAGCAGCAACAGCAGCAACAGCAACAGCAGCAGCAGCAGCAGCAAGAGCAGCAGCAGCAAGAGCAGCAGCAGCAAGAGCAGCAGCAGCAGAAAGAGGGAACACAAGAACAGGGAGAACAACAACAGCAGCAAGTTAAACAAGAAGAACAGCAGCAACAAGAGGGACAGCAGCAGCAGCAGCAGCAGCAGCAAGAAGAAACAAACCAGCAGCAACAACAACAGCAGCAACAGCAGCAACAACAAGACAGCACCGAAACAACCGCTGCTTCCTCCTCAACCCCCACAACCACCGCGACCACTACCACCACCACCACCACCACCACCCCCAGCAGCAGCAACAGCAGCAGCAGCAGCAGCAGCAGCAGGGGTCGAGAGCGTCAGTGTTTACGAGACTATCAGTTGATGGGAGTGAATTGGGTTTTAAGCAGAATGAAGCGAGGTGTATCCGTGCTGCTAGCAGATGAGATGGGTTTAGGAAAAACAATACAAACAATATGTATAATAGGTCATTTACTTTTTATCGAGGAGGTTCTTTCTCCTTGTTTAATCATAGTCCCTCAATCTACACTAGATACATGGGTGAGTGAGTTTAATAGATGGTTACCTGCTGCTGCTGTTGTTTGTATATATGGTAATGCTGTTGCTAGGCACCTAATAAGATATTATGAGATGAAAAAAATACATAATAAACTACATGTTTATAGTTTTGACGTTTGTATAACCACTCCATCTATATTAAACAACTCCTACGATGCAGAGCAGCTCAAAAAGGTCCACTGGTCACTGCTAGTGGTCGATGAGGCTCACCAACTAAAAAACAGCAGCAGCAAGAGATTCATGGAGCTGTCTTTGTTTACTACAAAACATAAATTATTTTTATCGGGAACTCCACTGCATAACAACCTAGAAGAGTTGTTTAACTTATTACATTTTCTCAATCCAAATATACATAAAAACTATACAGAGTTTTATAATAAATATTATTTAATAGATAAACACCAGGATGTGGGAGAAGATAAAACAAAACAATTATATAAACTACAACAAGAGCTTAATTTATATATATTAAGAAGAGTAAAAAAAGACGTCGAGCGTTCGATACCCACTAAAGTTGAAAGTATATTAAGAATAGAGATGTCTCCTCTGCAGTTATATTTTTATAGATTAATACTAACAAAAAACTATACAAAATTAATAAAAAAAGGAGGAGGAAATAAAACAAATCTACAAAATATATGTATGGAGCTAAAGAAAGTATGCAATCATCCTTTTCTTGTATATACACCCCAAAATACAGAAAAAAGAAATAAACTTCTCGTTGATGGATCCGCTAAAATTTTACTTTTAGATAAATTACTACTCAGACTCAAACAAAAAAAACATAGAGTTCTTATTTTCTCACAAATGGTTAAAATGCTTAATCTACTCGCAGAGTTTCTTAAGCTCAGAGGATATAAACATCAGGTATTTATTTATTTTATTTTTTGTTTTTTTTTTGTTTGTTTGTTTGTTTTGGTTTTGTTTTTGTGTCTTTTTTTTTCTTTTTTCTGCTTTTTTGTTGTTTATATTTATCTTTTTTTGTAAATGGTTAAAATGCTTAATCTGCTGGCAGAGTTTCTTAAGCTCAGGGGATATAAGCATCAGGTATTTATTTATTTTATTTTATTTTATTTTATTTTGTTTTTTGTTTTGTTGTTTTTGGTTTTGGTTGTGTCTTTGTTTCTCTTTTTTCTGTTTTTTTGTTGTTTATATTTATCTTTTTTTGTTTATATGCAAATGCTTAATCTGCTAGCGGAATTCTTTTGACTCAGGTGTTATACTCTCTATTTATTTATTTATTTTATTTTTTATTTATTTTATTTTTTATTTATTTATTTTGTTGTTTATTTAATTGTTTGTTTGTTTTTGTTTTTGTTTGTTTCTTTGTTTTTCTTTTTTCTGTTTTTTTGTTGTTTATATTTATCTTTTTTGTATTTTTATATATCCTGCATCGATCTTCTCTCAGCTTAAACACCAGCTATTTCTTTATTTTTTTCTTTTTAATTTATTTATTTATTTATTTTCTTTCTTTATTTCTTTTTGTTTCTCTCTTTCTTTTATTTCTTTTTATATGTTTATTTCTTTTTGTTTCTTTTTATTTGTTTGTTTCTTTTTATTTGTTTGTTTCTTTTTATTTGTTTATTTCTCTATTTCCTTTTTTTCTATATCTATCATTTTCCTTAACCAACCAACCAAACCATCCAAACCAACCAAACCAAGCAAAAAAACAAAACAAAAAAAAAACAAAATAAAAAAATAAAATAAATAAATAAATAAATATGTGTGTGTGTGTATGTATGTGTATAGCGGCTCGACGGCACGATGACAAAAGAAGTGCGTAGAAAGGCAATGGATCACTTCAATGCGCCCGATAGTACAGATTTTTGTTTTCTTTTATCCACAAAGGCGGGGGGACTTGGCATCAATCTCACCTCAGCTGATACTGTTATCATCTTCGACTCAGGTAAATTTCTCTCTCTCTCTCTCTCTCTCTCTC